TGGACGTAGTGTCCGTGACGTCACCCGTAGGTTTCTGAAGAGCGTTTTTGAAGCTCAAAGTGGGCGGAGCCGGCCGTCGCCATCTTGGCAGCTTCCGGATAATTGAAAATGGGCAAAGAGGCGGGAGCTGGTTGCTGAAACCACGCCCACCTAGCTTGATGCCGGTGACAGCAGCGGCAAACCACCTGTCACTCAAGTGGCCACGCCCTTAATTATGCAGAACTTTAAGGCTTAATATAATTTAAATGGATGAGTTATAAAAAAAATTCACCCCCCTCACAGTTGTCATGAAGGGCAAAATTAGCTATATAGACCAAAATCATTTTTTGAACCAGGCTGTAAACATATTTTTTTCTGCTGTAAAGTTGGGCATTTTAACATGGGGAGTCTATGGGACTGACTCCCTTTTGGAGCCAGCCTCTAGTGGCCAGTCGATGAATTGCAGTTTTAGTCACTTCCGTGTTTGCTTCACAAGAGAGAAGGTTGCAGCTTGGGTCTAACTCAATCTGAAACATCACATGGCAGAGCTGATTGGTTCTCTCCTGTATCGGTAGCCAATGAGCTCGCTGCTCAACATTCAAATATATGACTAGTGCTTGCCGTAGCTGTTGCAGCTTGCTTCAGAAACCCTCCACCTTCCCCAGCTCCACCTGTATAGATCTGCTACAAGGTGATTCATGTATGCTATATGGGGGTTATTTCATGTATGTTATATTTGCAGCAGCAATATTTCTTACATGCTCACAGCAGCATGTTGTGGATGTATTGGCAATAGCAAGTCTCGGTACTTGCTCTGCCGCAGCAGATTTATTCTGCCAAGACCAAATACATTAACATTGTCATGTACATTACCATGCCAATCCCTCCGAGAGTTGTCATGACAGAACTATGATTATGAAATGTATTTATATTTACTCAGTATTCATGTGATTCACCTTATGTCACACTGGTCAATGTGAGTTTTATTAAACAAAAAAGATCATATTTTGATATTTTGTAGGCTAAATGTAAAATTGTCTAATTGGTGAGAGAACTGCTTTATAGGCTAGATGAATTAAACTAATTCCATAAGCGAACTGAATCAACAATGAACTGATTTCAACTGTATAATCACTGTATACTATTGTCTTTTTAGAGCTGCTTTACAGTAGAATTTAATTTTGTTTGCAGCATTGAATCACTATTTTCTTGTTTATCACTGCTGTTTGAAACAAAGTGTTAAATAAAAAGGTGCGTATCCAACTTGAACTGGTAAACCTACACTAAATGCAACTTGCAGACGGTTAAAAATGACACATAATACAGAGACTCGAGTCGGTGAATCATTTTAGCATGAACCACCCAAACGCACCGAATCACTAGAATAGGCGATAGGACCGTTTAGCACGAACCGATTCACTAGAATGAATCATACTTGTTGTTTTTAACGTACTGATATTTCTTGTCATGTTATTTTAATGTATTATTGTAATTATAAATGGTTTGTAGTGCTAATTTACCGTTTACTGCACTTTGTTATTCCTCTAGTTACATATAGGCTAATGAATCGGAAGTCTCGCCCATTCACAGATACATTGACTCTTGCTGTGTTGATCTGTATTTGACAGCATGTTTAGCTGGGTGATAAAGGTTGTTCCCCAGCCTCCAGCATCTCCTGGGAAGCTGGCAGAGGAGGACCAGACCAATGCTTCCACTGCAGCACCTGCGACTGTGAGTTTGTGAACGTGTACATTGAGTCACCTTTCACAGTTTAAGCATGTCTTCACTGTCTCTGCACTGTTCTTTAGCATGTGACGAAAAAAGAGGAAATAAAACAAGGTAACTATGCACTCTATAAAATTTGACAGCCGTTTTGATCAATGACCAACACTGAATCACAGAAAAATAAAATACAGACCTGAGAATATTGTTCATTCATTTTTCATGATGTTATTTTACAGAACCTTCCAAGCCAACGGAAGAGGTCTCAGAGGAAAACAGGTGATGTTATGTTTGTGTTTGTGTGTGTGTGGGACATATGTGCGTTCAGTGTCTCTAGACGCAGTAATCCTGCCAGACTTAATTACTGCTCTCTATCCCTCTCTCTCTCTCTCTCTCTCTCTCTCTCTCTCTCTCTCTCTCTCTCCAGCTCTGCCACTATCTATCTGACTCGACCCGTGGCTGTTTCTTTGTATCCATCCTCATGGGACTGACTGACAGTTAAGAGCTTCACACACTTCAGAATCAAGAGAGTAACCGAGACACAGGGTGCGCCGAGGACCAAT